TGCATGATAAAAACCGAAAGTTTCTGTGATGACTGCCCTTGTACTGTTCACCATGTAAGAACTTATTCACTATGTAAGAATTCGTTCACCATGTAAGAACTTGTTCGTTATGCTTCAGAAGATTGGAGACTGATGAGAATTAGGCTTGAGATGGATTAATGATTGTGCATTGAGCATTGACCCCCCTATACAGAATTTTATTGTTGTTAACAACCATTTGATCAATAAATATGAGAGATGCCCTCTCAAAAAAAAAATGAATGGATGGTACAGAAAAAAGATACAGAAAAGAAACTATCCAAACTGAAGCACAGAGAAACAGGAAGACTGAAAATAAATGGACAGAGCTTCAAGAACTTTTGGGACAGTATCAGACAAGGGTGTGGTAGGGGTAGAAAAGATAATGGCCTTAAAATTTCTAAACTGGATACAACTATAAACCTATAGATCCAAGAGGTTCAATGAACCCCAAGGAGAAAATGTACACAAAATATCACATCATGCCATATCACAATTAAGTTGTGGAACCAGTGAATTAAATGGAAACCAGTGATTAAAAGAAAATCTTACAAGCAGTAAGAGAACAAAAGGACACATTATGCACAGGGGAAAAACTGAAGAGTGGCTGCCAACTTTTCATTAGAAGAAAATGTAAACCAAAAATGTTGAATGACATCTTTATAAAGTTCTGAAAGAAAAAAGAACTGTCAACATAGAATTCTATATCCAGCAAAACAGCTTTCAAAAAATGAAGGCAAAATGATGACACCTTCAGACACATAAAAACAGAGAATTTGCTGTGAGCAGTCTTACACTATAAGAAATGTTAGAGGAAGTTCTTCAAGCCAAGAGAAAATAATACCAGATGGGAACTTGAATCTGCCAAAGGAATTAAGAGTATAGAAATGGTAAATGATAAAATATAAGACTTTCATTTTCTTCTTTTAAAATTTCCTTTAAAAGATTATTGACTGTTTAAGGAAATATAAAAGTAATTTCTGTTGAGTTTATAACATGTGCAAATTAAAATATATGACAGTTACACAAAGCTAAGGAAGGGACAAATGGAAAGGTATTGTTATTAGGTTTGTTCCATGAAGTTATATATATAAAACTTCTTATATATATATAGCATATATATGAAGTAATATAATATTATCTGATGGCAGACAGGCATAAAATTAAAGATGCAAATTATAAATCCTAGAGCAGCCACTAGCACACTCTACACCTGCCCCCTTCCAGAAAAAATTGCATGCTGATAAATCATTAGTGGAGATAAAAAAGGCAAATCCAAAAAAAAGATTTAATGAATCAAAAGCAAACAACAAAAAGCGGTAAGAAGAAAAGAAAATAAATGTCATAAACAGAGAAAACAGCAAGATGGTAGACTTAATGATAATTACATTAAATGTAAGTGGTCTAGATGACCTTTAGAAGTCAGAGCATCAAACTGAATAAAAGAGTAAGACCCAGGTATACCATGGTAGCACTTTGAACAGAAAGACAAAAATAGGTTAAAAGTAAAGGAATGGTTTAAAATAAACCATGCAACATTAACCATAAAAACAATAGAATATCTATATTTTAATCAAAGTAGACTTCAGAACAGGAATATTTCATAAAGGATTAAAGGGGCAATTTAGATGTGGCAGTAGGGGTGTTGTCATCAGTTCTGCAGTGGACCTGGGACATCATTGAGGGCTGGGGAGCTGACTAGCTCCCTGGTCTTCCAGAAAGCTGGAAGACTCACTACCCTTTACTTTATTCCTTTTCTGCCTACACTACCCAGGGTGGGTTTGTGATGCTTGCCACTGGCAATCCTAGTGCTTCAAATGAGATGTGGGGGGCAGAGGCATCTAGCACAGCTCAGGAGGCACTCAGTAAATCTTTCCATGCTTTCCTTAGAATCAGTGGAGGCCAGAGCTAATTGTAGGATGTATGCTCTGTTCTGTTCCATCAACATTAAGTGACAAATATCAACTGATCCTGTGGACAAGGAAGGCAGACAAGGCCCTAGGTCACCTCCAGCCTCTCCTGCAGTGCCTTCTTCAGGTTAAGGTAGCATTCAGAATACACAACATACCCACACCAAAGGGCTCAAAGAAACAATGCACTCAACTCTAGAGGTGAAAAAGCTGCATTTTTAGACCATGAATCCTAGATTTGGGGCCTCTTCATGCCTTTACCTTCCCCTAATCTGCATGGCCTAATTTATATGCTCAATTTATAGAAATGACAAAAAAAAAAAAACATGGATGCATGCCCCTGATTATAGCTTAAGTGGGGTTTCTACACTGAGAGTCAGGCTTGGCTGACAGGTTAGTGGGGCAACCTGTAGCTCTGGGAGACCTGCTGTCCCACTGACTGACTGTGGCTCAGGATGGGAACTGTGTTTGGCAGTTTGTCTGAGGAGTGGATTTGTGCGACCAGTCACAGCTCATGGGGAGGAAAATACTTTCACTACAGCTGCTTCCTACCCAGCACAGGGATGGGAAACCGTGAGCTGTGGAGAGAGGCTGTGGGTTTTAATACTCTACCACTCACTGGGTGAGTTGACACATAACATCTTCCAGCCTCAGCTTTCTTATCTCTAAAATGGGGATAAGAAAACCCATTTTGTAATACTGTTGGGAGGATTCAATATGTCCCTAAGAATAGTGCTTTACAAAATATAGAGTATACTAGGCACTAAAAAATGTTTTCAAACATGATGCTACCCAGTGCACATAACTAGTCCTGGCCACTGTCTATGGAACTTTGACTCTATGCTATGCACCGAGTTAAGGGTTTATGTATGGTACCATATTTAGTTCACATAACAACCTCTCAAAGTATTTATCCTTCTTTTAGAAATCAGGTTTTTTCTGAGAGGTTAAGGAACCTGTCCATGATCACACAGCTAGTGGAATAGTCAGATCTTAGACCCACGGCTTATCTGTATCTTTCAGGAGTTCCTTTATTTACCCAACACATATTTATTGATACCTACCAGTCTTAACCATCACACAATACTGCATTTGTTAGTGATACATGATTATCTTTCAGCGAAAGCTCAAAACTGATAATGAAGCCTCTTGGACTATAAAGAGGCTTTCTTGTAAAAATTAAGCACCACCTGTGTTCACAATAATATTGATTTACACTTCATTCTTTTCCTGTTACTTGCTTTTTCTAGCAAACGGGAGATGAGGCTTTGCATTCCTTCTCAGCAGAGAGCTGCCCCCTGTGGTGGGAAACTGGACCAGCACCCAGAGGCCGAGAATCTGTCCTATTGCCAGGCCACTGATTAAAAACCTGCATCCACCTACTGCCTATTGAGCCCCCTGCACTGTGATATGCTTTGTTTTTCATATGTATCAACTCATTTAATCCTTGCAGCTGTTCTTTGAGGCGCTACAATCATCATCTCTTTCCTAAATGAGGAACTGGAGGCATGCAGAATTTCCCTCTGAGGGCCCAGATAAATAACTTGCTGTGGTCACAAAGCGAGGGGGTGGCAGAGCAGGGATTTGAATCCAGGAAGTCTGCCAGGCCTCAGTGTTTGCTTCATGTTATTTCTCACTGTTTCTTCTGAGTTGAATATCCTAAGTTAAATGCTCATATGATATAACTCTGCCCCATGTCAACAACTCCAGGCACTATACTGTCTCATGGTCTTAGGGGTGTCCCCATCTTCCCCTAGAGACCCTGACCTTTCTTTGGTCAGAGAGCTAGCTTAAATCTCTACAGAGTAGAAGCTCAAAAAATATTTGAGGAAGAAAAGAAGGAATACAAGAGAAAAGGAGGGAGGCAGAAGAAAGAAAAAAACGGAACGGAAAGGTGTCTGAAAGGGTGACTCACCTTCTGCAGCGTCTTCCTTTCTGCCTCCACAGAAGAGCGAACAGATTTGATTTCCATGGTGTGTTTCTTGATCAGGTCTTCCAGCCGCTTCACTAGCTGGTCTTTGAGATGTTTCTTCTCCTCTTCTGTCTGATGTTTGATTTTACGAAGGTCTTCTTCATATTGTTGCTTCACATATTCTGTCTCAATACTTGCCTCTTTCTTGGTCTGTAAAAAGAAAAAGGTCTTGTAAAACTGCCAGGGAGGGACAAGCAGCAGGAATCACCATTTCTCTTTTGTACAACTTTCAGTGTTTTTCCACTGTGTTTTCACTGTGTTTTCACACTGACTTTTACAGCATATATCCCAAGGTGCAATAAAGTTTATAAGACTATATATATTTTTAAGAGACTTCATCTTATCCACCATCAGAAAAGGACTCTTTGGAATAGTGCATCTATTGTCGTGGGATAAGATACTCCAGCCTATACTCCACTGGTTTCTAAAGAATGCTCTGTTTGCTTTGGGAACGTACAGGGAGAATCTTAGGCAAGTTTCCAGTTTCCCGGGAGCCAGTAAGACCCTGGGAGGATTCTGCTACATTCCCAGACTCCTAGTTTCAAATGACATGAAGGGGGCAAGAAGTTGGCTGGAAATTCATATCCACACATCCATGCCTGAAGCCAAGGGACCTGCTGTTTCTGAGTGGATCTGTCATAGTTGGGAATTGCCCTCTACCTGAAGCTCATTCCAGTAAAGCCTCCTGTGACCTCTCCAACCCCAGAGCTGGGTCAGACACTACCTGTGTATCTGTGCCTTCTTTCATGCAGGGACACTCCTTGGGCAATGCCTGGTCCTGGTGAGGAGGGAGACTGCAGACTTCCACATCATTCACTCTCCCTAGGACTTCACGCTCTGAAACCAGCTCCATCTTCATGTCATCTGCAAGCATAGGTTTCAACATCACCTGGAATGCCTTTGGCCTTGGCTTCGTGTCCAAGGCCTTCTGCAGTCGGGTCCCCATTCTGCTATTCAACATTCTGCCCACCACTCCCCTGCATGGTCCCTGCACCATGGCTTTTTGGCCAAGTACAACCAAGGTGGTGACTGTCATCTTTGCTCAACCAGCAACATCCTGAGTTCACATAGCTGCCTTGCTCTCTCAAACTAGTCATCATCAAATTTTTTTGATTGTGTTTTCTCTAAGTTAACAAAAAAATGAACATGTCCCTGGACATATGTACATTCAAATGATTTAAATTTAAAGGAATTTGAAGGATAGAAGAAAAAGTAAATATAACTAGAATTGCTCATTCTTTTCTTCCCATATTTCCCGAGGAGGTACTCATGCCCTACTTTGAGACCACTGTTCTAAATCATTCATACACTTCTGGTTCCAACCCGAACATCCCCTCCTCCACACCTTTGCAGCCCATGATGATTTCTTCTTTCCCAGATACTTCATCCACCTGCTGCCCCGGCTGTGGGCAGTTCCATAAGCTCCCAGAGGCAGAGCCCATGTTTTATGCCTTTGTTATATCTCCTACTGTCAAGCTGATCATACTGTCGGTATTCAAGAACTTTGTGGGGAGGGAGCAGTGGAAGGCACTTTGCAGTCAGATATTCTTACACACAACCAGTCCTACCACCAACCAATGGCCTTGAGGCAGCTACCTACCCTTTCTCAGCCTCATCTCTTCACCTGTAATTGAAATACTGAAAACACCTATCTCACAAAATTATGGGGAAGAGTCAATAACGTCACTGTGTGAAATGATGCTAAAAGTATATAAAGTGTTGTCTAGGTGCTGGGGGAAAGCCAATGCTGAGAAATCCAGGTGTGATGGTGGGCCATGTTGGGGAATATCTGGGGACAATGGGTATTTTTGCACCATGCCGTATAGACAGCTGGCTTGTGGCACCTCTAGGTATTGGCCCACCAGGCAGATCAGTGCCCCTCTGCTCTGCTCCCACAACATTCTCAAGGTTGCAAGTGGCACCAGGCCAGCCTGGTGGCTAACCTTCCAGCATAAGGAATCTGTTCCAGGGCATCTCACCAGTTTTCTCTGTCCCATGACACTCCTGCAGCATCAGTCTCTCTTTGGCAACAGCCAGCTTCTCCCCAAGCTTTTTTGCAGTGCTTTTCAGCTCTGAGTTCTCCTGTCGAGCCTCCCTGAGCTGCATGTCCAGGTCCTAAACAGACAGAAAGGCTCTCATTTCCCTGGGCACAGTTCTGTGTAGAGACATCCTATGTACACAGAACTGACGTCGGATCTGGAAGGTGGGCATCTGAAAGGTCACACATGAGCTTGTAGCCTCTGGAATTCAGTGGCTCAGTGCCCATCAGATGCCTACTCCTCCTCTGGTTGGGCACGTTATTCGTTATTCAACCTCTCTGTAGTGAGGGTTACATGGGATAAAATGGCTGCGACAGAAAAATGCTCAGGGTGTGTTAGGATTACTAGCCGCTGCTCCTTTTGGAGATGTGACTCTGTGAGTCTCTGGGGCTCACATAACTAACTGACTTGTCAGTGGTATGGCTCCCCATGAATGCAAAGCCCCAGGCTAGTTGCTAATAGAATGAGTAGGCCTGCAGAATTAGGCTGACCTGAGCAAAAACTTATAGCTGCATGCCCAGCTTGGTTAATACTTAAACCTCTCAATTTCAGTCTTTTCTTCTTATCTATAAGCTCTCTGAGGTCAGAGACCAAGTCCAGCTCACCAGGTGTCTCTTGCCCATAGCTCCGGGCATGGCACATAGTAGGTGTTCAATAAATATTTGTGGAATGAATGTAGTTGAACTCAGGGGAGGTAATAATGCTTTGGTAGAAGTCAAGTGCTCCTTGCAGAGCCTGACACATAGTAGATGTTCAAAATTAAGGACCATGCTTGTTATCCCTCTTGCTTTACCTGAGTCCTGTCCTTCAGCTTCTGGGCGTACTTCTTCAGGTCACTTATCTTCCGGCCTCTGTGCTCCAGGTCCCCTTCCAGCTTCCTGACCTGGGCCTGCAGGGCCGACTCCTGGACCTGGAAGTTCTTGCGGAGGTCTGTCTCCTTCTCCTGCCACTGCCACAGGGCCTCGCTCACCGACTGCTGCATGGCCTGCCGGATGGCCTCGTTTTCCCGCTCGTAGGTGGCCTGCAGCTCCTCGGCCTTGCGGGCGTAGTCCTGGCTCAGCTGCTGGTTCTCCCCTCGCAGCCGCTCCACCTCCAGCAGGACGTCCCGCATCTCGGGGCTGTGGCCAGGCTCTGCCTCCACGTCTGGGCTCTCCTGGCACGGCCGCCCCCACTGGGATGCCTCGCGGCCCGTCAGGTGCCGGAGCCTCTTCTCGTAGCCAGCCTTGAGCTCCAGCATCTCCTTGGAGAGGGTGAGGACCCGCTCGGCGTGCTCCGCCTCTGCCCTCAGCTCCTTCTCCTTGGTCTCCAGCCTGCATGTGGCCGACTGGGCCAGCGCCTCCTGCGTCAGCCTCTTCTGCAGTTCCAGGGCGCTCTCCAGGGCCCGGATGCGCTGGAGCAGGGCCTCCTCCTCCGCGTGGCCCTCCTCCTGCAGGAGCCTGGCCTTGGTCTCCGCCACCGCGTCCCGGAGCTCCTCCTGGTGTGCCTCCCGCAGCGCCTCCATGCTGGCCTCTGCCTCATCCTGGCGGGTGTTCAGGGCATAAATCACCTGCAGGAAAGTCCAGAGCCCAGTTAGCACCAGGACTGTGGGCATGTGTGAGGGGTGACGGGACCAGAGATGCTTCTCCTCTGTGGCGGTGACTTAGGCTGATGCACGCCTGAGAAAAGGATGTGTGTGGAAATGATTTATTAGAAATTGTGCCTGGAGAAACCAGCAGGGGAGCAGGGAAGCAGGACGGGGAAGTGCTGGAAGCAAAGTAAGGGGTGATACTGTATGAAGTCCCACCGAGGTTATCTGCCATGGAGCTCCGTGGGGGACCCCTGGAGTGCCATGGGAATCCAGTGGGGGGCTTAAAGCTCTAATTTGTTGAAAAAGAACACATTGGGAAACAAAACAAACAAACGATTCTTCCCCTGCCCTGCCCCATAGGATTCACCCATATACAAAAAGGATTTATTCACCATGACCAAGTGAGATTTATCCCAGGAATGCAAATTGATTTAACATCTCAAAATCAGCCCATGTAATGCACCACATGAATAGAATGAAGGACAAAACTGTGTGGTTGTCTAAATAGGCACAGGAAAAGCATCTACAAAATCCAACACCCCCTTCTTGATAAAAACACTCAACAAACTAGAAATACAAGATAACTTGTTAACCTGATAAAGGCCATCTATGAAAAACTCACAGCTGAAAATCCACAACTGCTCCCCCAGGACTTCAGGGACAAGAGAGGGATGTGTGGGGACAAGAATGAAAGAAAGCAGGAGCATGGCAGAACCCAAGAATGCAGAATGACTCCCAGATTTTTGGTCAGAGAAGCAGGTAGATGTTTACCAAATGGGAGAAACTATAGATAGCACAGGTGGGAGGAAAACCAAGAATTCTATTTGGGACAAATTAAATTTGATATGCCTCTAGATAGCCTGGTGGAGATGGCATCAAGACAAATAGAGAAATGTCTGGAGGTCAGAGGAGGAGGCCTGAGCTCGAGAGGAAGGGGATACAGAATCAGGATACCATTATGCAGTGTTTGCTTGGTGAAAGGTTCCAGGGCATGTCTGCATGGTGATGGGAAATGACCCCATGACTGCAGGGAGAACACGGGAAGGGAAGCCCCATGAGTGAGACGAGACAACAAAGGGTGAAATCCCTGAGAAGTGTAGCAGCAGAGTCAGATTTGAGAGCAGGGAGGGCACATCCTCTGTGGAAGCAGGGCGGAGGGAGAAGACGGAAATGGTGTGTGGAACATATGACAGAAGAGTGAGGATGCTGTCACCTGGGAGAGGTGACAAGGTGACTTCTACATTCTCAGGGAGCTCAGAGGGAAGGTCAGTAACTGACAGGGTGCAGAGCTGGAGGACAGAAGGGAAGCATGGGAGGCTGAGGAGAGAGGTGTGGACTAGGCTTTGGGGAGGGGAAAGGGAACTGTGCGAACTGCCTTGCAGCAGCCAAGGCTGAGTTTATGCAGCTGCGGTTCTCTCCTTTGTTCGGAGGTTTTCTTCAGTCATGTTTGGGTGAGTGAGTTCAGGGAAGGAAAGGAAGGGTGGATGGGTCATCTCGAGCTGAGGTTTTACTTGGTGAGTGTGACAGAGGGAGAGAAGGACTAGGCAGTTTAGGTATTTTCAAGAGCCAACAAGGGGAAGGAGGAGCAGAAGAGGTTGATGGTGACAAGGTCAAGGGTATGGCAAAGGGAGTGTGTGGCGAGGGGTGGCAAAGGGGGGTAGAGTGAAGAACAAGATCGCTGGAGGTGAGGGATCAAGAGATTGAGAAATCAGAGGGCTCAGTGGTACCAGGTGGGTTGTTGAACTTACTAATCACGATCTAAGAGAGGCTGGGCTGGGAATCAGGTGCCAAATACTCCATCAGCTCCCTTGGGCATTTACGATAAGAAATATTCTTCTTCATAGTTCCACCACACAGCTTCACATTTAGCTACCCCTAATCTTTACGGGCTGCTGGTTTTTCCTTGTTCTTGAGTCTACACAACTAGACTATAATTTCATTGTCAGTTTCCCATTACTTAATAAGCCTTCACCCATGTTTTCCATGCTGTATTCCTTTTAGCCCCAAGTTCCATGGTGAGATTGAGGGCCGTTGCAGGGAGCCTGGTGGAAGTAAAGTAGGTAGGAACCCCTCTTGAAATCAGAGAAGAAAAGTTTTTACACTGGGACTTCCCTAATATAGTTTAGAAAAAAATTAAAAAGCTTTCCATTGCTTTAAAAGAGTCAAAAAATCAAGGACTTAGATGATTTTGAAATAAAGAGTAGACCAATCAGAAACATTACATAAGAGGAAGTTTTGGAAAAGTGTGTGTGTGTGTGTGTGTGTGTGTTTTGTGTGTGCATGATTACAAAACAATTGTGGAGAAAGGCCAAATATCACCACTAGAGCTGACACTTATATTTAATAAGCTTACCTTATTCTGAGACTCTAGAACTCGGAAAAAGAACAACCGTATATCCAGGACACTGCCTGAGATTTTTTCACTGCCCACATGTACCGTGACTATTGGTATTTTTGCCTGTCTCCCTCACTGAAATGTAGGCTCCATGAAGAAAGAGACTGGTTTTCTTTGCTCATCACTAGTCATCCCAAGTCCCCAACTCCAGGACACTCTAGAGGTATTTCTCAAATGGATGAGTGAATGAAGGAATTAGAGCTATGTCTTGAAGGGTGTAGTTGTAAAGATCTAAGATGACCTTGATGTCTTGCAAAGCTTTGGGAGAATAAGTACTACATTGAGAATCCAATATTCTCTGATGTCAAGGACAGGAAGGAAGTCCTTCACCTTCCCAGGAAGACTCCACAATGAAATGAAGCTGCTCTCTCCACAGCTCTTCCATCTCATCACTTGTGCACAGAATTAGGCCACTTTTGTTGATTTCTGTGGTTTCTAAGGGCTTCCATACAAGACTGTATCTGAGGGAGCAAATGTTGAAATTGCAATCCCATTGGCTGTCATTTGTGTTAACAGTAAATACCATTTTTACAGAGTTTACTATGTGCCCAGCTCAGGGTTAGGTGCTGTGCACACATTCATAGTCTCAGAAAATCCTCACAGCAATGCTGCCAAGTTGATATTTTTCTCTCCATTCTAAGAATTAAAACATTGAGATTCAGAGGAGTTCAGTAACTTCTGCAAATTCACACATGATCAGATTTGACTAGCTCCAAAGAACAGGCTCACAGCATGGCAGCACACCACCTCTCACTGTGCCATTCACTGTCTATTCATGGACATGCTTACTGCACATTGCAGATGTACCAGGTTCTGGGCTGTGCACCAGGGATACATGCTGGTCAGTAAGACAATGAAAATTGGGACCTCAAAAACATTATAATTCAGTAGGAGAGTCAGACAAGAATATGTAAAGTTTCAATGCTCTGTGATAATGTTATGAAAGGGATTAGCACTAGTTACTATGGAAACAGAGAGGAAGGAGTCTAAATGAAAAGAAGACTTTCTTCCCAGAAAAAGTGAGCCTTGTCTCCTCATCCTTGGGGCGACCAGTTCCCTTTAAATGTCTACCTTTGCACGGGTAAGAACGATATGACTTCTTAGTATTGTTTCATAGCACTTGGTCTGAAATTGAGCACACAGAGGTCCATAATAAGTACCAATTATGATAATGATGCAGGTCATCAAGGATTTGCGCTTTCTATCCACAGGGCTGCTTACAGGGAACAGAGACCACACTTCCTAGACCCCTTGCCTCTAGGTGGGCCAATTGATGAGTGATTGCCAATGGAGCGGAGCCAGAGGTAGTGGTGATGTACGCCATTTGGGGGCCAATGAAGGGGTCAAGGTTAAGAGGAGAGTTAAGAAAGAGGAAAACCTTTCCATAGTCTCTTTTTCCATCTGCAAACTCAATGGACAGGACTCAGATGCCTTAAAAGAAGGTGGAGCACAAGGTGCCGGCATCCTCAGTGACTAAGTAGAAAGGCTTTCCCCCCACCAGCAGCACTGGTATTAATCTTTACATGAATAAGAAATAAACTGTTGTGTTGAGTCTGAAGTCTTTCTTGGCGTTTATTTGTTATACTTACCCTGTGAGGAGAACTCACAGGACTCAGCATGCAGTCATGCTCATGGCTATGAGTAATTCCAGTGAATAGGTACAAAGTAAAAATGAGGAAAAGGTGCCTGGGACCAAGTCTGGAGGAAACTAGGCACAAGCTTTCAGGAGTCCTCCCCACATGGAGTCCTCCCCCAGGACAGCCATACAGACTTGCTTAATTTCCCTAGGAGCTGGGACGACACACAAAAAATCCTGTTTATGGAAGGAGCTCAATTAAGACTTAGTGAGGTTTTTACTGGGGGCTAGTCAGATAGGCAACTTATGCCTCGCAATACCAAAATTCCAGACACCCAGGAGGAAAGAAGGTGCTTAGTATAAATCATATTGTTTGCATAAATGGTTTAGGAATAGGTTGCTGCTATGATCAGTTTGGGTTATGGGAACACTTTGGAAAGCCAAGTTCCCATATGCCAGTCAAGAGCCCACTTTGCAAGCAGGCCATTCTAGTACAAACAGTCTCAGGCCTGCTATATTAACTCTTCTGCACACCTAAGAGTAGATAAAAAAAAGACTTCATTACATAGAGTCAAGCTTGTGCCACTGGTAAATCTTACATAAATGGGGGTTCTTATTGTGAAGAACAAAACATCCTTGAAAAGGTTGTTCCATGAAATCTGACATTGGTGATTCCACTAAGGATAAAATAAGCTACAGGTTTTGGTAGTGATCTTGGAGAATGGTGTTCTTACATTCGACAGCTGTAGAGCAGGAAACTTAGCTGAAGATCCTGTATATCCTGATGCCACAAAAACATTCAGTGAAGAACGCAAATGTTCTATTCATTTGAGTAGAACCATTGTCCACTAGATATGGGTCCTAAGAATGTCAGGTATGTCCAATATTTGCTTATGTGAGTCTGCTCTGTCTTGTGAAAATGCTCGCTGTGTGCACACTTTTGAGTAACACAAGATCAGGTCTCAGGCTAAAGGAAGCAGAGAAGGTGTCACACTATGGGCACACAAT